TCATGTCCTGAGCTAGGGTTTTCAGATGCTCGTGCAAATGCAAATTCCCAAAATATTTTATAAGCTCCATCTTCTTCTCCAGTTATATTGAGGAATAAGGAAGAATGGGAAAGGGTAGGAAAAGACCCCAAGACGAGGATTCCTCTTCCTCCTCCAAAATTGAACCTAACAATAAGCACTACCGCCGCCACGGCAACCACTCTCCGTCATCCGCAGTGAGTAATTTTGGCCCCCAGCCACATCACAATTCTCATCAACAAATAATGGCTAAGAGATCAAAATTCATCTCATACCTTGAAGTTCCCTCTTTGACCCCCAAGGTGAAAATCCTTTGTGAAATCATAGCTAACACTCCCTCTGCGAGTGTGGAGAAGTTGCTTGAAGATACTGGCGTACGGGTATCTCAAGAAGATGTAGAGGAGGTACTCAAGCTGTCGTATGGGTTCCCGGGCCCAGCAGTGAAGTTCTTTCGATGGTCCGGGTTCCTGTTGAATGATAAGCATAGTCCGTATGCTTGGAACTTGGTTGTCGATTTGCTGGGCAAGAATGGCCTGTTTGATGCAATGTGGGATGCTATCAAGTCCATGAGGAAAGAAGGGTTGCTGTCATTGGCTACCTTTGCTTCTGTTTTTAGTAGTTATGTGGTAGGGAATCGTGTGCAGGAGGCAATAATGACATTTGAGGTAATCGATCAGTATGGTGTGCCAAGGGATGTTGTAGCGTTGAATTCACTGCTGAGTGCAATTTGCAGGGAGGGAAAGACTCCAGAGGCAAAGGATTATTTGGTTATTGCAAAGAATACGATTAGGGTGGACGCAGATTCATATGCAATTTTGTTGGAAGGGTTGGAAAATGAGGGTGATGTGGCTAGAGCTAGGCAGACTTTTTCGGAGATGGTGGCTGACATCGGCTGGGATCCGAGGAATGTGCCTGCGTATGAATCATTCTTGAGTACTCTTCTCAAGGGTCCTGAAGGTATTCATGAGGCATTGAAATATTTAAATACAATGATAGATAGGCGATGCTATCCTGGGATGAAATTCTTTAAGTTAGCAATTGATGAATGTGTAAGGAAGAGTGATGCAAAAGGAGCTAAAGTGCTTTGGGAGGCGATGGTTGTTAAATTTGTTTGCAGGCTAGATACAGGAATGTGTAATTCATTGATTTCCTTGTATTGTAATATCAAGGATTTTGATTTTGCTAAAAGTTTGTTAGATGAGATGGTTTATAATGGGGCTTTCCCTGATTCTGAAACTTACAACATACTGTTTCACTTTTTGATTAGATGCAAAAGGCTGAGAGAGGCTACGCCAATCTTTAATGAGATGGTGAAAAATGAATGTGTGCCCATACATGCAGACTGTAGTGCTGCAATTAAGGCCTACATTGACGTTGGGGATCCTCATATGGCAATTAGGATATGGAGATGCATGGTTGAAAATTATAGTTCGGATTTGGAGGAAACGAGCAATTTGTTGGTTTTGAGGCTTCGAGACATCAACTGGGTTCCAGAAGCAGTTAAATTTGCTGAGGATGTCATTGAAAGAGGAATCAAGTTGAGCTCTGCGACACTGTCAAAGTTGAAACAATCCCTAGGTAAATTGGGGAAGACATTTGTTTATGAGGAACTTTTACAGAAGTGGAAAACTCATTAGTTAGGTTTGAGCTGCTTATTAATATATACAGTTGCTTCACTAATTTATAGTCTTTCTATCTTTATACCCTGCAAATTGTTTTTTCCTGCTACAGAGTGTTCTGCAAATATTCATAGATTGACTTTATATTTGCCCCTTGATCTATTCCGTATCATAATATCAAAATAACTTTTTTTTTAATTTATAATGCACTGTGAAGTAAAATAGTTGCAAATCAACTGCTAAAGTGGATGCAGTAGCTGGCATATGTTAAGCTTCCTATCTGTCTCTCTTGATTCACACAGTGTACCCCTCAAGTCTCACAAGTATGTTCCAAAGATTTATATTGTGTTCCATTTGTTGAATGGAGATACTGTTCAGTTATGAACTGCAATCACAGGGAATTGAACAAGGATCACAATCAGTTGCATGCACTGTTGCTATATATTATCATTTATTTATTAGGCGTCATCTATTTTATTATTTTATTTGTTATTTACAACATGGATGTTGGTCACAAGTGTCGGTTATATGATTGATCCAAGGTAGTGATCATTCCAAATTATGTTTGCCTGTAAGTATGTGTCGCTGAGTCAAGAGCATTAATTCATCGTGACACCTATCTCGTCATCTCATTTTCATTGGGTAATTCATAACTTCTGGAAAAAGGCATATTGGTAGTGATATTGGGAAATTCTTATACTCTTAGCTAAGGGGGTAGGTGTTTTCTTGTGGTAGTGCTAGTAAATAAGATAAAATCCAATTCTAGCTTCTTCTTTTTTATTTTATTTTTATTGAGCATTACTTTAGATAGCGAGAGAAGGAATATATCTTGTAAGATTTATTTCCGAAGGAAAACTCGAATAGGAGAATTTCAGTACCTCATAACCTAATTGTGTAATATTTTCTTTCTACCTTCTGTTGGAGGGGCATATTCTTTGTCTGTAGATGCCTCCTCTCAGATTTTGAGTATTATTTCCTGGCTATTTATAATCTTGAAAGCTCCTTAATTTCATTAGAGAAAATCAGAAAGCAGGGCTATAGCTTATAATGCTCCAAAATCATGTTATCCCATCATTGAACATGAGATATTTATAACACTTGCAATTTTTCCTTTTCCCGAATTGATACTTGAATTTTGTGGCTCTAGCATCTTGATGGATTGATCTTTAATCACAACCGTTTTGCTATGACTAGAAAAATGTTTTATACCATGTTTAATGTAGATTAAAATCAGATTTTTAGTAGATTTTGATAAAAGTTGATAAAATGTGTGGTTGAAAAGTTGTGGGTCCCAAAAAATGTGTGGTTAAAATTAATTGTTGACTTTGACTCGAGATTTTAATCCAAACCAAACAGGGCTTAATACGATTGAGGAGCATGAGATATTTATGATGCAGAAGCTAAATTAGTTCTACATTGAAGAAGACAGATTCAATTTGAGATCTTTATGGATCGTTGGCCTTTTGAAAAATTCTCTTATTACCTGTATTTTACTTTGGAAAGTGATCTGACGTGTTCAATTTACGAAAGATTTAGTTAATTAGGCTACAAGAACGTTAAGATATCTCTATAGTATTAGGTAGAGTGAAACTGATGGAGATTCTTACACTATCCCTAATTCTCTTGTCTTCAGTTCTCCTCCCCTTCATCTTCTTATATAAATTTAGTGATTCTTGATTGTTTGTTACAAGCGTAGTGCATCAGAAACATAACGTAGATAAACTGAAATGGTCAAAGAGCTATATCTGTTGGGAGAAGTTCAATCAATTAGCTCACAAAAACAACAAATATATATGTGCAAGAAATCAGAAATAAAGATCTGAAAATATAACTACAAGTAAACCGAAATCTGTACACAAGAAATAACTGAACAATGAAGAACAATAAACTGTACAACTCGAAACCAAGATGAACAAAAAATACACTTTTCTTCTTATTAAGCCCACAGGCCACAAGTCCTCAAATAAGTGCTTCAATCACACAAGAATGAACACCACCATGCTCGAATCAACCTAAGGTAAAGATACAAAAGTATGGCACTTAGACTAGTCTAATTATTACACAAAATAAGAACTCTCTCAACTGATAATACACGGTTCACACAAGAACCAGCCCTCAAGCAATGTAATCACACAGGATTCACAAACTATTGAGAAGAAAACAAGAAATCAAACTGAGCAGATTTGATTTCTACGGAGAAGAGGAGAACTCTCGAAGAACGGCGCATAGACGTGAATGGAAGAGTCGAGAAGCCAAGTGAGTCTCAAACCCTAGAAAATTCGCTTTTAAATGAGTCACCTAAAGGTCGTCCATCTAACGGTGTATGAGGTGGCATTTGGCGACATCACGAGCGTTCAAAATCAGGTAAGTGAAATCACGGTTTTAAGCCTCTTCACAAACACGTTTTTGCACCAAAAACAAAATCAACAGAACTTTGGGCTGGACTTCAATTCCAGCTGGGCCACTCAATTATTTGGCCCAATAGCATTGTAGTTGGTCATGTTTATCTGCTCCTTGTATAGTTTCGTTTCCCTTTTTTTCTTCCCATTTTTCTGAAAGTTTATATAAGATATAATTGTGTTCATTTACCATGTTTGAAATTTAAAGATTTGAGTCAGCATCAATGGATATGCAGTGTGCTGCTACTTTTTTAAAATTGTAGATACTTAAACTGTTGCCTTGAGAGGAAATCTAAGAACAAGTCAGACCCGGGTGCAGAGGATTAGTTTTCTTGGCTATATTTCATCTGTTGAGTGTGGATTTGCAAATGCAGTGCTGTTCTATGAATAGTCACAGAGGGTAAATACGCCTTATTTTCATTTTCTATTGCAAAGTACTTTGTAAATATGCTGATGCTACCTTGTTTCATTTTTTGATGACGAGTTGTATGCTTGGTAGTCGAATTTATCATCAATATTAACTCTAGGTCGAGTTTGAGTTGAGAAACTAGTCATTTTAGTGATTTTTCGGTATTCCACCTAATGTAATAAAAGTTAAAACAAGCAATTGGCTCACTTCATGCTCTTAATGAGGACAGTTAAGGTGATATGGGCGCGATCTAGTGCACCTATCGAATGTGGTATTAAGCTTCAATTTAATGGACAATGCCAATTGTACATTTCAATGCTTACACCTTTGTTGTAAAAAAGTGATTGGTTTGAAGGGGGAAAAAAAAATTTTTTTTTTTTTATTGTCAATTCACAATTTGCCGTGTGGTAAAAAGAAAAATTTGGTATACGCCAAGCATGATTGCTATTTAACTGGTTTGGCTGGCAAAGATTGAATCTTCGATTCTCTCACTATAGGGACAGGATGGGAAATGACAATTAATCTGCTTGTACAAAATATATTGACAAAGTGAGTGTGGCAAGATTGAGGTCATTGGTTTTAAAAACTATATTTTAAATTATAGGTTTAGATCTTGTCAATACATATTTTATAAACTAATTTTGTACACATAGCATGATTCGGGAAATAAATTCTTGGTAAAAAAACCTGTACTAAAATGCTGTGTTTTCTACTGTGAAATTAGCCGAAATACAATTTGTATAGAATGAATTAAAATTGATGAGGAAGCATATTCGAAAAGCTGGAATAGCTCAGTTGGTTAGAGCGTGTGGCTGTTAACCACAAGGTCGGAGGTTCAAGCCCTCCTTCTAGCGAATGATTTTTACCAACATTTATTGCCCTTTTTACCGTAAAATTTAAAGGAAAATTTGGAAAAATACTTCGAAAACGTGAGCGGCAGGATTCGAACCTGCGCGGGCAGAGCCCACATGATTTCTAGTCATGCCCGATAACCACTCCGGCACGCCCACTTTACATCTATACGTGTCAGATTTATAAATTATTAAAGAAAACGAGAGAGAAAGTAGTCTCTCTCATGGAGTAAACAAATCATTTTTTGTTTTAACGTGATGTGTTGCTTACTCTTAAATTCCAATTGTACAACTTAGTCTGGTTTTTGGTTATAATTAAATTGTATATTGTACAGTTTTCATAAGAAATTTGCAGATACACATAGAGGCGGAGACGCGGAGTCAGGGGGTCGTAGTCGTATTGAACCTCCAAGTTATCCGATTTTTTTTTTCTTTTTTTGCAAATTTTTTATATAAGAAAGCAAAAATATCTGATTTCTATAATTATTTTTTCGGGGGTAAAAAACAAAAAAATCAATCCAGTGTACAGGCCCAAAATTGTTTGAGCAGCTTTTACCCCCCAAAAAAGAAAAAGTCAAACCCTCAAAATGATTCTCTGCTTCTCACATGGTGCCTTTAGATTGTTTTCGTATTTGAGAAACGCATCAAACCACATGATTCTGGTTTCATTACAGTCCCCTACTCCATGTGCACGACGACAGTTGTGAAAATACCAAAATAGAAATGGATCTCCATGTGATTCCAAGGCCATGCATTGGAATGGAGAATCATGCTTGGTGTATAATTTTTTTTTAAATACCGTTGATAATATGTCACGTGACACGTTATTATTGGGTAGTTTAAAAAATAATTTATTTTTCCAGCCGACACTTTTTTGGCACATAAAACATTGCCAACAACATTGTCACAAAAATCATTGTACAAATAGTATTGTCCTTAGAATCGATATCCTATTTTTATTTTGAATTTTGTTATTTGTACATAAAAATTGTATACAATGGATTATATAATATGATGTGGAGGGAAAAGATTGGATGAAAAAGTTAATCGTGTTTTAAACTAACAAATTGTACAGTGTCATGTGAATAATTATCGTGCACATTTATAGTGTCAGTGGGATGACAATGGTTCGACTCGAGCAGGCTTGACTCTTGGACGCACATTCTCAACTTGGCTCCATGGACAAGTCGAGTCCGACTTAGCTCATATCCACAAACTATCCTTGGTTCAGTCTTTTGTTCATGAGTTTCATAATTGAGCCAAGTCGTCTACAAGTCCATGATCTAGTTTGTATTTTCAAAAAATTAATAAAAAGAGTTTAAAAAAACGAGATAGCCACGAGCTCAAGCTGCCCATAGG